GAAAGGCGAGCTCTACAATCGGCTCCTCGTGGTCTCCCGCTGCCAGGTGGAAGATGCTGAAGATGTTCTTCCAGCCAGAGCGAATATTATGGGCCTGCGAGTTCACCATCTGGGCGATGCAGCGCACCACCATGTCGCGAATAGCCGGCGATGCGTTCTTCTTCATGATGTGCTCGAAGGGCCGCAGAAAGTCCTTCTGGAAACGGAAGTTACTGAACTCGCCCTTCTCCATGAACTTCATCGACAGCTGACGCAGCGAGTCCAGGGCAAAGAAGGAGATCTCCTCGTTGCTGTTGCATCCGACGGCATTGAAGTGCTCGCCCAGCACTTGCCATATGCGCGACCACTGCAAACGGATGCGCTCCATGTTGTAGTAGCTAATCTCAACGATCTTCTGCAGGGAGAACATCCTTGGCTGCGGCTGCTGCAGTTCGTCCACCGAAACCTGACACAGGGCCTTCACAAAGTCGACGATGGCATCGCCATCCAGTCGCATGGAACCAGTGAAGATGCGATCGACGGCCACCACCACGCTCTGGCTGCTCGTCTCGCCGATGTGCTCCTTCACGCTCGGATTCAGCGAGTCCTTCAGAGTGGTTTGCGCTCCAGAAAGATACTGGGGCCGTACCCCGGTCCCAATAAGCTGGGCCAGCTCCAGCTGGCTAATGCACTTGACGATATCCAGCCAGCTGCTGCCCAGGTAGTTGCCATCTGTGTGAGCCACCATAATCAGCGTCTTGATGGTGTCGATATTCTTGGCCTTCATTTCGTTAATGGGCGAGTTGGCATTCAGAAGGGTGAACCTCGCCAGGGCCTGCACATAGGCGTCCCGCTCGAGCGACATGTGGAAGATGCAGGCGATCCGAATGGCACAGCGGATTCCGTTCAGACAGAGGGATGCAATTTCCGGATCATCGCAGTCCTGCAGGCCCACCGAAAAGGCGGCTAGGAAGGGCGTCCAGGCCATTTTGAACATGGGACGCACGTGCTCCAGATGCTTCGCCGAAGTGAAGGGCGACTTGACGTGGGACACGGATTGCATCAGATTGGTGGCCGTCAGGGAAATGACCTCCATTTCCATGTTCCACAGCAGCTTGCGCCGCTTCTCCGTGATGAAGGCCTGCTTGCCCAGGGGCTTGGGCTGTTGGAGCATACCCGAGTTGTTCTTCATCTTGATCTCGTGTTCGGCAATCTCGTCGTAGATGGAGGACAGGTACTCCTCAGGCAGGTCCCCCTTGCTGTCGCTGATGCCGCGGTTCATTTTGATGTACTGCTCCTTGGTCATCTTGTGCTTGACCTGCGGCGAATGCAGGTCCGTAGTCAACATAATGATGCTGAAGGCCAGCACGTAGACTGTGTCGGCGCTCTGGAAGAGCTGGTTCTGCGGATTGCACTCGCAGTACCTGCTGGCGAACTTCTCCATCAACCGATCTATCTTCTGCGCCTCGCCCGGCAGCCGGAACTCCTCGAGCAGTATCCTTAGGGCGGCCACTACTTCCAACTGGCGAAAGTTGAAGTCGTCGATGTAGGCACACATCACTGCCTTGGAGTGGTCGTCGTTCTCACCCAGGTAATTTCCAATGACGGTCTTATCCAATCGCTCGTCCTCGTGCAGCCAGTGGGCAATGTCCTGGCAGGTGGGGCCCAGAAGCTGCTTCTCCTGCAGAAACTGGACGCCCTTCTTCGGCTTGCGATTGAAAAGCTCAATGCCCGTTTCCATGACCTCCTTGCGCATCTTGCGCTCCTCAAGCGCCTCGGGCAGATCCTGAAGCTGCTCCTGATTCGAGTTGAGGCTGTGGCTCGAGCCGCTGTGCGCGGTCTGGATGGTTATATCCGCCTGATCCTGCTCAGTGGCCGTTGGCGATTGTACCTGCAAGGGGGGAGCAGGCATATTGGGGTTAACGTACAGGTCCTTGCTCCACTCCACCATGCACTTAAGTATGGAAACCAGGCACTCCAGGCCGCGAATGCGCATTGATTTCTCCTGCATGGGATTGGCGCCCAGCTCGAGGGCCTGCCGCCCCTGGGCAATCTTCGACAGATCGTTGACTAACCGCTCGAAAAGGTTTGCTGCCGAGAAGTCGCAGTCGTAGTTCACATAGATATCCACCACCGACTGGGCATCGGCACAGATCCGCGTCAGCGCCTGGATCACCATCCACTTGTGCTCGAAGCTGCTCGAGTTCGCCTCCAAGATGTTGAGGAATATCTCCTTGAAAAAGACCTCGATCTGGCGCTTAAGGTGCACCTTGAAGTTGGACAACAGGGCCACGAAAATCGACAGCGACAGCTCGAAGACCTCCGGCACGAGGCTCACCCCGTTGTTGGACAAGGCCACGCACAGATACTGCTTGATGGCCATGATAAACATCTCGTTCGAGCGAAAAACCGGTCCGGCATTCTGCAGAATTAGCAGCAGCAGGTGCAGCGACAGCACCTTCGAGCGCAGCTCATGCGACTTGGGATCGGGATGACCCTCCGGCAGCGGTTTCATCGATAGCTTGCACAGGGAACGAAACACTAGAAAGGCATCCTTCTGCAGAATGTGCGTGAACTTGGCCGTGACCACCGCATCGTTCTCGCTGTGTAGTTCCACGCTGTCGTGATCGGAGTGCGACGAGGAGTCGTTTCCATTGGCAATGGGCTCAGCATCTCCGCCAGATTCCTGGTCCTTAGTGGCCTCATTATAAGCGGCTGGAATGTACGAAACAAGGAAACATAAATTGAGTAATCAAAACCAGGTGGGGAGAGCGTCGCTTACACCTTATCGGAAATTTACTTGGCCTGACTCATGCTTATTTATTGGACAAGCAATTGATTCGATAAAGACTTTGGGCAGATAGTTTGAGGCGTTGCCTCTTCCCCTACCACGCACCTGTTATGATCTCCGCCAGAATCTCGGAGGCAATAACCTCGTCAGCATCCCCCAATGCCTCCTCTCCACCACCGTTGGTCCAGTCCTCGGAGTGAACGCTGCCGTTCATTGGATGCGAAGGCGGAGGCGGCACCTCGTACACCTGGTTTTCCATGCGGGCAAAGATCACGTTTAGCATCTGGGTAAGCGTCGCTCGGGCCGTTGTCTGGTTGACCAAGTTCTTGCTGGACAGGTAGATGTCGTAGCAAGTGCGCACCGCCTGCAGCAGCGTGGTCTCATGGATCTCCACATGCTGCGAGGTGACCACCGTGAGCAGCGCCTTGATGATCTGCAGCTGAACGCCCTCATCCGTTTGGGGCCCGCTGAAGCATCCGTAAATGGTCACCACGATGCGGTCTATCAGCAAGTGACCGGGATTCGCCGAGTCCTGGATGGAACCGGTGAGATGGCCATAGGCAATAAGCTTCTGCAGACAGTCCAAGGCCGTGACCACGATTCGGGGCGAGCGGCTCTTGCAAGCCAGCTCGAAGGGCAAAAAGTAGGTTTCCGCATTGATGATGCTCGCCGCATCGTTCTTTGGCAGCGGGAGGGCGGCGCAGGGCAGCTCGTTGCCCTCGGCGATCTGTCCGGCGCTGATCAGCTCTGCCTTGATCTGCTCCAGCGCCGAGTCGCAGGATTTCTTCAGCTGCGAATGGTGGGAGCGCCGAATGTCCTTGTCGGCAAGGATCTTTTCTAGAGCACGCACGATGAACATTTCCTTGGTCTTCGTGGAGTTGTTGTGCATATTGGGCCGCTGCCACTCCCAAGGTCGTCTCCGATGGGTGAGTTCCTCCTCCGCCTCCGGTTCTTCTCCGCCCTTGCCCTCTCTCCGCTTCCGACCAACTTTCCGCTCCTCCCTCTCCTTCCCTCACTGCGCTGCGAGTGCGGAAACGACAGCAACGCAACTTTCGCTGCTGCCTTCTGGTGACCTCTGCCAGCTGGGCAGGGGTGTTCTCCTCGGGTTGCTTGTTGGTACGCGACACTTGGCGTGTTACTTGCGTGTTGTGTGAGTTTGCATTTTGCAAATATCACACTTTTTCACATTAAAATATTCTTCAAAATACAATGCGAAAAAACGTCATCAGTAGCGAAATTACTCAACACTGTAAATGGTAACTTTTTGATCGGTCTGGCAGGACTGGCTGAAGTCCGATAACCCACCAACCGCATTCGCTATCGATATCTAAATAACTCGTTTCCACCATGAACAAATTTAATAAGGAATGGTTATAGTGTCTTAGCAAAGAGTATAGAATTATAGTTCTATACTCTTTGGTCTTAGTTTTTTCAATGATATCCCAGCAGACAAAAACTTCGTAAAAAATAAGAAAAACGGAAGTTTAACGGATCTCAGGCGGACAAAACGTCCGTTACCTGCCGTGGGGTTTGTGGCAGCAACCTATCATTTTCGGAATCCGAATAAGATTTCGATTGCGGACCTTTTATGATAACATTATCGGGTATTATCCTGAGAATTCGCGATTTTCGTCCGCTATTCATCCGTTTGTCCGTCCGTTTTTGAGCATTTAGAGAAACTAATGCGGAAAATCAGAATCTTTGTCCGTCTTTAATATGTTTAGCGGACATTTTCGGATCCGTCCGCACTAAGTCCGCTGTTTGTCTGCTGGGATAATAAACTTGTGCGCGACCACACGAAAAATATAGTCTACTAAAACCCTCCTAATTGAAACGGAATATTCAAAAAAGTATATATTTTCTTTTATAGATCAACTATGGCTTTTTAACAATGCAAATGAATTAGATCTCGATAAATTTGAGTTTTTCTAATGATATTTCTCTAACCAAGAGCAAATTCGCCGAATAGTGTGAATGGTCAAATTTTCACTGTCGTGAAGAAAAACCAGAGTTGCACCGTAAAACTATCGCCAACAGCTCATAAATTCGCACTACTGATGCGGAAAAAAATGAGAAATTTCGGAAGACCGTATAGATATGTCAAGGCAAACTAACATAAAATTGTGAATCGAAGTCTTTCGTGTTGGAGAAATAGATTTAAAATTAAACACACGCCGAGGTATTGGCGACTTACATATATTATACGTAGTAAAAACGCTTTCTTGACTTTTTTCAAATTTATTTTATTGAAAAGATAGTATCTAAAAGTGTTAAAGTAACATATTCAATAAATAAATATTTCATTTTCATATCTTGCACACAGTTAATGTCTTAGATATTAGTATTCACATTCATACATACATTAAGTAGAAAAATCCTGCCGTCAGAACTGAGTCCAAGTGACTGCCGGTCGAGAGGATCAGATGTGTCTTCTTTCCTATTTGAGATTCTCTGTAAAAATGAATACGGGCCGGGGAAGGTGTCAAATGGAATTTTTACAGGTGAGATATAGAGGGATGATGCCGCGAAAAAGGCAGAAGTGATCCTCAGGACGACAGTTTTGTGCTCAGTCTTTTCGATATGCCAAGCCCAACCCACGCTCATACGTGGCTAAGGACTTCCGGGCTTCTCTGTACCGATGATTGGCGTGACGTTGATTGGGACTTATCCTGTTTGTCGAACTTGAGGAAAATATCCTCAAGCGTGCACTCGTTCACAGAGTAATCCTCAACAATGTCCCCCAGCCGATCGGCCAAATAATCTTCCGTTATCTTGAACACATTCGACCACTGGATTACGGTTTCCTGTATGCTTACGAAGTACGTAAGAGTGCCGGCATGGTTCTCCCGCAGCTCTAGTCCTGGGAACTGTGACCTTAGCATACCGGTCACCGTGCACACATTCGACTCTGGGTTCTGTGTTTCTGTGTTCTCCTTCATTTTTAGTTTAATGGTGAAGCCACTCAAACGCTTTAGGGCACAGATATTGTTCAGACATTTGAATTGACCGTGCGCCATGATAGCCAGTCGATTGCACAGCTCCTCGCATTCGTCCATGCTATAATATATATAATAATAAATATAATTAACATTTAATTAATATTTAATTTGTTAAGGTTTTGAAAAGCAAATTTTGAGTAAAACCGAAACGTATCGGCAAGAAGTTAATATGCATTTAGAACAGTAACACTCGGCAACGGTTATTAAGTTAAAAAAGTTAAAGCAACACCAGCTATTATTATTTGTACATAAATAAAGTCTATCTGCACGAAGAGACGGACATGGCTGGATTGACTCGGCTGCTGATTCTGATCAAAAATACATATATGTACATACATACATATGTATTCTTTCCCTGCCTTGCAAACTTCTGACTAATACTATATAATCAGGGTATTCCCTTAACACTGAATGACTGAAAATGTTCCAGAGTTTGTATGAGAATACCTTTTTTCAGTTGAAAATATCGGCTAACTATGTATAGGGATATATCGCCGATATTTTCGGTCTGGATATTCCCTTGACGACTGAATGAATGAAAATATCCGCGATGTATCTCGATAGTTAGCCGATTTTTTCAACGGAAAACACTTCTTCCCCTACAAACTGTTTTAAAAATAGGCTAAATATTGCGATACAGAACCAATATTTTCATAAATTAAGTAGTCAATGGAATACCCAAAACATATGAACATAAATACATAAAGGATCCACTTGGCAGTTGATGCTGATCAAAAATTCAATTACTAAAATTATAATACCCTTTCATGGCTATGAATATATAAATATGTATACATAAATTAGTAAAAGCTTAATATTTTTGTTAACCTCGTTAAGAATAATTCAGCGTTTTTTGCTTTTCCAAAATGTTCTATAGTTAATGGACAATAGAGAGTCACTAGAAGAATTTTAAGAGCTGGCTTTAAAGAGAAAGAAAAATACAGGCGCTCTCTCAAAACAAAAATATTATTGTATATGTGAACACGTACATATGCTCAAGACCCCTTCAGTTCTGGAATTCCCTCCACTTTCCTTCCGACATGTTCGAAGTTCGAAACAATGAAGGCAAACAAAATCCTGGTTGCGCTTATATTTTACTTGTATTTACATATATTTATTTTCGAATAAAAAAAAATTGATGGAAGGGTATTAACGAAATTTGAGTGAAATATGATTCTAATGACTCTTTTAAGAAAATGTTTGTTTTAAATAAAATGTGGTTCTAATTGTAAGGTATTGAAAGGGCCGGATATACCCTAACACGCGTCCCTCAAATTTTGCAGTTTGTTCATTTTGAATTTGACGGCAGCTGTGAGCTCACGCATTCAATTCAAGTCAAGATAATCAAAGTGATTTGTTATTAATTACTACATTTATTTGCGCACTTGATTTCGAAGTTCGGTCTCCCGGTTTGGCATAAGAGCATTACCGGTATATTATTGCAATTGCGTTTCAATATCATCTGTTCCTGGTTAAAGTTGTGCGATATGTATGTATGTAAATTTAAATAAATTCATACATACATACATACATACATACATACATAAATCGCCTGAAAGGGAATGGAATTGGAATGGAAAATATATAAGCCTGATGATAAAAGTGAAGTTTGTGTGCAAATTTCGCGCGCAATAAAAATACCATCGGATCACTACACTGAAAAAAATTATACCGACAAAAACAATATATAAAATATAAGCAAATCCAATTATCTATTTTAGGGAAGAATAAAATCAAAAATATTCAAAGACCATGTTTGAAAAAAAAAAAAAAAAAAAAAAAACAAATCTATTGGGCTTAGTCCATCGAAGTTCGAAGCAAAATTCATTCTGCGCTCAATTTGTGTTTTTGTTATGTTATTAACTGATAGAAGTTGTCTTTATATTGATTAGAAGATTCCACACATTTCACTAATATTTACACATTTATCTTTCTTTCATCACTAAATACAAAAACAAAGTTATAACCCAAAATAAAATTAGCAAAGGGATATGGCTGACTCACAGCGATGTGCAGTAAAAAGGCCTTTTGAAATGGAAAGCGAGGACCTAGATGAAGACGCAGGACCTAGCACAAAAGACAATAAGGGACATTTGAAGACACTTTTGGACCAAGGTTCCAAGCCCAAGGATCAGATGGGTGAGCTGGCGAAGAGGCTCCGGTCCTTGGAAAGTAAGCTCGAGGCCAACACCAAAATGTTAGAGGCGAATAGCAAAGAGTTGGCAAAGAGCACTCTACAGGTGTCAAAGCTGGCGGCCCTGCTACAACTTTTACTAAAAGGAAACTCAAAAGATGTTGGAGTCGAGGAATCGTTCCCGATCCCAGACCAAGAAGCCCTGGCAGCACTTGAATTCAAAATAGTCTCTAGCACAAAAAATGCCTACGTTAGTAAATATGATGCACGACTTTAGTCCGTAAAACTGATTATTTCTATTATTACAGATTCTAGCCATAACTGACTTGCTGAATAGCAACACTCTTACTAAATCACTAAAAGGGGTGATGGCCGAATCGTTAATTTGCGACTTCAACCTGGATGGCGTAAATGGGAAGAAGTCTCTTAGAGCATTTCCCGAATTCTTTTCGGTTCTAATCGGTATGTATTTTTGTGAGAAATATTTAATTGAACATATTTAATTTGAACACATTTATATCCTTTTACAGAAAGCATAGGTATGATGAAGGGCCAGCAGTCGCCGGAAAAGGCCCTGGCACATGCAATGTCATGTGTAAAAAACAATGCAAACAAAAAAAGAAATTCAAATAAATAAAAATTATTTTACTTGCTGAGAGATGTTTGGTACTGCCCATATTTGATTTACGTAATTCTTAACGAGATTATAAATAGGGAATCGGAGATTTCGGGAGACGAGTCCTCGGGATGGGAACTGTTTATAATCACACGTTGGATTTTTTGTAGAATTTTACGCTTTCAACTTAATGATAGCGAGAGACAAGCCGACATTATGGTATCATAAGACAGTTAGTCTTCTTCCAACGAGCAGTAGTTAAAACAAAGTAAAGTGAAAGACCGATTTTACTTAGCAATTAGATTTTTTTCGGTTTCAAGCAACGCAAAAGGGAAGATCAACTGAGAGCATTTGACTGAAGAATAAAAAGGTTTTCCCCTCTATGTTCGTTTCTCGAAAACTTTCAATAACGTATTTGAGAGGGTTTTTTCGAGCGTGTTTAGAAACATTTTCCTGAAGAGCGCTTTAGACTCACCACTTAAAATTTTTTAACAGTTATTAATTAAAGTATTTCTTAAAATTTTTTATAAGTCCAAATATTCACATATTTTCGAGATATAGGAAGCTGAAGTACTACACTGAAAAGAAAGGTACTGTGATGTTCAACACAATTCTGGACAATCTGCTAAGTTGTTTTTGAGAAATGGTGTTGACCAGTTAGAAAAACGTGGATTCGAGAAAAACGAAAAAGAAATAATCATTGCAGGAGTAAGCTTCTCTGAAGAGCATGTCTTTTCAACGATGTAACTTTGTAACGACATTGAATATCGAAAAATACTTTTAAGAACTAATAGTACTTAAGTTAAGGAAACGTCATATGGGCCCCATGAGACTCGAAAACCTGTAGAAAACAAATGTTCCTTACCTGTGCGAAGTAAGCACCACAGTCCGTTCCTGTCCTTGAAAGTCCTTAATGCACTGCCATAAAAATCGTCTCGAAATTGGATCTACGCCGGTAGTGGGTTCGTCCAGGAGCACCAGCGTGGGTGCCCCGATCATGGCCATGGCGGCCAAAAGTTTCCGCTTTGTGCCGCCCGAATAATGGCGCACCTCCACCTGCTGATACTTGGTCAAGTGCATCTTTTCCAGCCAGTACTTTACGTTCTCCTTGACGCTGGCCGGCCCCTCAGCAGAGTTACTTAAGCCCCTCAGCAGGCCCATGTAGTGCAGGCACTGCTCGGCGGTCATAAACTTGTTCAGTGCATCGTACTGCGGGCAGTAGCCAAAGCGGTGACGGTAGGCCACTTCATTCTGCCGAATCTCTATGCCATCTATGCAGATGCTGCCGCCGTCGAGCGCCAAGTTGGCAGCGATCATCTGGAAGGTACTGGTCTTGCCCGCTCCATTGACGCCCAACAGACCAAAGCACTCGCCCCGCTGTGCCGCAAAGCTGAGTCCATTGACAGCCACCTTGTCCTGGTATCGCTTGCGAAGGCCACTCACAACCAGGGGATAGCCCTCTGAAGGATGCTCGATGAGCTCTCTGACCAGCTGCTCTTCCTTGGCACAATCAATTGACAGGTGGGTGCCGCTGGGACTGGTGCGCAACGAGTTCTTCTTCTGCGTGAACATTGAGATATTTCGATAGAAGGCTTCCTGCACTTTCCGGCGCAGATACATATGCTCCAGGACGACGGTAAAGAACGCCATGACCAGCACACACACCGCAATGGCGTAGGCAAAGAAGACCTCCTCGCTGAGCAGATGATGTGTTTTTCCGGGAGCCAATACCCGTCGGCGGGTAATAAAGTTTTCATTGATAATGCGCAGCTGGTGGTTCAGATTGAAGTCCGGCAGGAAGCACAAGAATGCGATCTTTGTCTCGTGCAATTTCATCGCGGACGAGGTGCTGGAGGTTATTAGGGGGGCGATGGCTAAGGGGAAATAATTGGACAATTTTAGTATAAAAATGCAGCCCAGAAATAGAGACAGATCTTAGATCATTTACCCGAAACAATCAGCATTAGGAGCAGGTAGGTGGATATCGTGGAAATGGACTTGAAGTTGTTGCCCAGCGCATAGAGAATTGGCAGGTAGCTGCATCCGTAGAAGAATATACTCGCCACAATCACCCGAAGCTCCATCTTGGAATAGAGCTCAGCGGGCATGAACAACTGTTGCAGGAGGAGCAGGGACACGCAGACGACGGCCAGAGTCAGCACGTCGAAGGTAAAGTGAGCGGCCCAGTAGGTGTATCGTGACATGGTCTGAAGTCTGCGGAAACCGTTCGCGTATTCCCTGAAGGGCAGGGCAATGAAGTAGAACATGCAAAAGAACATTCCCACGGACACGATGACCGCATAGTATTCCAGCCTGGAGGCGCTTATGTCGCTGATAAAACGCCGGATGGGAACATAGGTCGCATCTATATCTGACCCTGGCCGCTCTAGCCCTAGCATGGCGGAGTCCACCAGGTTAATCAGTTCCACAGAGCTATGGTAGCGATTCCCGGAGAAGTAGATCTCTATGGTGGGCGTCGCTCCGCCAGTGCCCCTGCCGTCGCCGTACATGTCAATAATGCCCACCACCTGTTCGAGGAAATCGGCCAAGTTGTCGCGTTGTAGGTCGAGGGATTCTACACGAAAAGACAATTATAGACATCAAGTTATTCGAGTCCCCAGCACGGAATGTATAGCATACCATTTTTTATATCGTTGTCCCCACGGAGCTGCATTGTTTTCGCAGTGATCCCGCTTAGCTCGATCTGCTGACGCAGTTGCTGCTCCACCTGGCCATGGTGCCCCGTCGGATTGTATATGTAGACGATTCCACTGCCCATTTGACTGAGTTTCAGCGGCAAAGCCTCCTCGTTTTCCACCACAGACATGGCGTGCATGGCGAGAATTGCACCGAAAACGCAGACAAAGGGAAGGCACAGCTGGCGGGAAGATAACGTTAACAATGGAAAAATACAGTAACGTTGTAATGCAACCTAATCATTTTTGCTTATCAGGCCACTACAGCGGCTACGCAGCGAGACCAATTCTTGGGAATAATTCCAATATTTTCAGCAATGCTCACCATGATCAAAGAGTACAGCCATTCTTGCGAGAGAAACGTCCACTTCTTGTAGAACACCGCCAGCCAAAGCTGCAAAAGGCTAGGTTCAACGTGTTGGCTGGGTAAACGCTTATAGGGAGCCAAGAGCGGCATATCAGTCCGAGATCCGTCCGGGGTATCCACCTGGTCCTGCTCACCGGCACATCTAAAATGTATCAAATGATTATTTTGGTAAATCTCTAAACCAAAGTCAACGCTAGTTGCTTACTTTAAGAACACATCTTCCAGGGTTGTGTCGGTCATGGAAATCGTTTGAATACCCAACTGATTCATGTTGGTCTCAAGCTTGTGAAGCATTTCTGGGAATTGTCTTTTATACGCATACGGCAGACAGATATTCGCGGTCGGTTTCACCACATTCTAATCGGAAAACACAGTGAAAAGTTATGAAGAAGTCGCATATAAGGTCGATTTGATGTATTCAGTGATCTTACCAGGACGGAGGCCGGTGGCACATAGTCGCGTATTGTTTGCATGATTTCGTCTTCTCTGTGTGTAAAGTCGCTGACCTCCAGTTTTAGGCGATAACCGATGCCAGACCTGCGCTTGAGCTCCAGGGGGGTTCCCGTAGTCTGCAACTTGCCATTGGCCAGTATGCAGATGGTGTCGCCGAGCACCTCGGCCTCCTCCATGTAGTGGGTGGTGACCAGAATGGCCTTCTCTTTGCGCAGATTCAGCAGGATGTCCCACAGTTCGCGCCGTGAGTTGATATCCAGTCCTGATGACGGTTCGTCGAGAATAACAATTCTGCAATAAATATTAAGATCTTAGTATGGTTTATGAGGAGACCTAGGCTGCTGACGCCCTACTTGGTATTTCCGGCAATTGCTATGCCCAGGGATAGACGTCTCTTCATGCCACCAGATAAGTTTCGTCCGAACTCGTTTTGTTTGTCACTCAGCCCCAGTTTCATGAGCTTCTCATCCGCCCATCTGCGGGCATTGCTGCGAGTTTCTCCGCGAAGTTGGGCAAAGAACTCCAAGTGCTGGTGGCAGGTCATGTAGCTCATAAATACACTGTGCTGGGGGCAGAAGCCGATCAGGTGGCGATAGGAGGACACGTCGCGCTCGCTGCAGACAACTATCTTGCCCGAATCCTTGGGCACCAGTCCTGGAAAGTAGACGGTCAGCATGCGTATGATTTCATCCCAAGGATATGCTTATGCTCACCCATTATCATGTTCATCATCGTGGTCTTTCCAGCCCCGTTGTGGCCCAGCAACACAGTAATCTCCTTGTTGTTGATCGTCATACTTAGGTTGTCAGAAATGAGCGTTTCTCGTTTACTTGTCTGGAACTTCTTGCACAGCTCCGTGATGATGATGGCCTGTGTGCCTCTTGGTGCGGTCGTATATTCATTGCGCTGCCGCTTCTGGTAGGTTTTGGGCTAGGAATGCAGGAATTAAGGAGTCGACTTAGGCAAATCCTTGCAATGGCCCATTTAGCTGGGAAAACATACCGATTTACGAGTTGAACCGTAACCGAAAAAGTGAGTCTTCCGCTTTAAATCGACTTAAAAGAATAACCGCAACCGAAACCGTCACTGAAATTAACCGAAGTTTAAACCGCGAAAGATAGTAACAAAGAGGTTGTATAAGACGATAATTTTAGGGACCGCAAATAATATTAATGAGTACAAATAACTCTACGTTTCAATACCTTTCGTTTGATGTACTTCATATTTTAAAGGATCAAGACTTTTCAATCTATTCAGCTTATGGATCGCTTTATTAAATATTTTGGGATGTTTGTTTTTGTTAGCATCGACCTTTAACTGATAAGAATTTGTAAAGTATACGTGTCTACAAATCAAAGGCGCGACTTTGGGCAAAAATAACAAAAAGAACAAAGACAAGTAGCAGCTGTGGTTACGATCGTTTCATTGGCCCTACCCAAATCATCAGACCACTTGCTAGCTATTGCTAATTTTCTTTGTACTTTACCTTCTATCTAAGCTAGAATCCGTTGGGAATCCTAAGCGTCGATGCGAAGGCAAAAGCAAACCACGAGAATCGGCCATAGTTATTTTTGTTTTTGTTTATTTTGAATATTTGCACATCAATTTACTTGTTACTCTTATTTGCGATCCCTAGATAATATTGCCCTTTCCCTGAACATAAGAAATATTAATTAATTGGAATTATGGGCAGCCGAAAATACAGATACTGTATCGTTATTTTACGGGAAAGTTGTGAAACCAAATTTATAAATCGATATTTTAACGTGGCGATGCATGTGCGATATGTTGGAATTCGGTCAGGACCGGTCACCGAACGAAAGCGCGAATTCGAGTCCCGGACATAAGAAACTAAGACTACTACTTACGTCCAAAAAGAAGAGAAATGGGCGCTTCAGGCCTCCCGGTCCGGGAAACACACAACCCAAGTAGTTGTAGACAAGGGCGTACAAGAGAGATTGGAACAGCAGGACAATGTAAATCGAGAACATCCGACTGGAGTCATATTTAACTTCACGGAAGAGATCTGCTCCTCCAAAGGTGCGATCTACGATGGTCAAGTGATAAGTTAAAGGAGTGCCCTCGCATTGTGGCTGTGTAAGTCTTACGCTTGTTGGAAAATGTCTGGAAAACGTCCAGACCCTCCAGAAAGGCATTGGTGCTAAAAAAGTAGAAGGCCAAAGCGGTGGCCCAGGTGCGAACAAAGGTAAACACATATGGAATGATCAACATCACCAGGCCACCAATCTTCGCATAAAATACTAGAAAGGAAGTAAGCAGTTCAAGTAAAGAGGATTAATCAGGCGGGTGAATGTTTGGTTACCTGAATGAAAGCAAACCGATATAAGATATGCATACGACATGGTGGCCAAAATGTAAAGCAGGAACAACACAGCCACGTAGGCGAAGCGTATTAGTCCCAGGGCCTCGTAGCAATAGGCGAGGATGAGGACGAAGAGAAGTAGCGCCGCATAGCACACGAGACGGATGAGAAAGAATGTAAGGCCGTTAAGGAAACTCATGGGCGTGACCAGGTTAAGGAACTCCTTCAACCCGTTCTGCTTCTCCTCGACAAAGGGAACCACGAAGGTGCTCAGCAGAACCACGCTGAAGATGACGCTGAACAAGGTGCCAAAGTATATGAGTCGGTGACTGTCCATGCTGGCCACCTCCAAGTTAGGCATGGAACTGACCAGTATATTGTAGTTTGCCTCCAGGCTCTGATACTTCATATATTGTTTGTCCAGTATCAGCTGCAGGGTTAGGAATCCCGACCGAATGTAGTCATCGTCGTCTGAAAGAACAAAGCACAGAGTCAGCCGTTGATCGCGAACAATGGCACCACACGGACCTTTCTGGCGATTGACTTCCTCGTCATTTACGAATCGCTTTCTGGGCGAAAGGCGCATGTGACTTGAGCTCAAGCTGTATCGGAACTTCCCGGCACTACCACGGTTGGGCACCTCCTCAAAGTTGATGGCAAAGCAGCTGCCCCTGCACTGCTGTTCCAGCTCGAGCTGCATCTCGGAAGTGCTGTTGTAAGCCCGGAATCCTGAACAGGAGAGTTTATCAAATCATTTCTCTGCAATTATCATGTTTACTCACGCTCTGGGGCAATCTGCAAATCCAGACGCAGTAGGTCCACGATATCCTCCACATTTTCGATGCTGGGCGCATAGTATATATAGTCAAAATCATTTCCCGGGAAATACAGTTGTTTCAGTACCAGCTGACGTCAGATAACAAATTCATTAGAAATCGCGGTCATGGGACCCCAGGCAACAACAGTGCCAACGCATTAGGCAGACGCTTCTACTCACTTCATTTTTGGGCTCGAAGTCCGTCAATTGCGGCACAGGGGGCTTGATAGACCAGTGCAAATAACCCCATAGTACGCCGACGAGTCCCGTGCAGATGCACAACAGTGGCAGGAAGTTGCAGCGCAAGTAGAGCAGGTTCTTTCGCAGAAAGACAAAGAACAGCGGGCTGCAACTGCAAGCCATTGATAATGGAGGGGATCCGCTTTCCCCACGCTCCTCTTATTCTTTTAACTTTTAATTTTCAATTTTTGCGACGAGGCGTCGTCATCAGCTCCCCTTTGCGATGTGCTAAAAAGTTGTACCGGAAATCTATCGAAACATACATACACACTTTTAGCGACTGCCCCCGAAATTCCCCCTACTCAAAGGGGATCAAACAATAATATTGTACGTGGTGTGTGTGTAATGAGATACGGCCCAGGCCCCAACGCCCTAATGAATGCACATACGCCATACATATTGTATATATAAATATATATATATCGCAGTTATTCCGATTAAAAAGTTAGCTATAAAAAATCTAAATTAAATATCCACTACAAAATACATACATATCTGAATAACAAGAACTAAATGATAAGAATTTTTAACTTTAATGATTTTTAATAATTTTTAATCTTTAGTAGATTATAAGAATTTAATTTAATAAAATAATATATGGTAAATAAATATTCGTACCTCATACGTTTATAGCCGTATGACACTGGCGCATTAATTAGAGACTTCATTAAAGATTTGACAGCGCTATAGCGTTTTACACAAGTGCGAGCAAGACGACTATAGGCGCTCTAATGCATTAGAATAATGTTATTGAAAAATGTATTAGCCAGCTCATTGACAGTATGGTCTTACATTGAGAATTTTATTTTTATATCAAAAAAATGATGATGATGAAAAAATAATTAGAAAATTAGGAAAAATAACATGTTTTGCGGTGCCAAGGTTCTTGCGCTGTAAAATTAATTAAACTTTTTTTTGGTAATAATTTAAAACAAATTAAGCTTTTTAGATTAAAAACGTAAATTTAAAGGATTCTGCATTTATTTATGCAAGAATACTTCGACGAGGAATTCAGAAATTCATAGTAATACGCCGCGAATGGCGGCCGGTGTGACCGTAGTCGCATTACCAAAATAATCCAAGCAAAATTGCACATATAGTGGTGTCTTTCAAGGTTCTAATGAAGTAGCTAATTAATGAAAACTGCATTAGAGTGTCATATGGCTATTATGATTTGGTGATAAACTAGCCAAATCGACATAGCTGCTCGCTTTTGACGTTCCGATATTTCTGTATCGATACATCGATACATCAATTGGTAAATCGAACTCAGTTTGTAACAATAACAATGGGCGACCCGAAATTATTTCCCATAAATCTGAACAACCTTTCGTCGAAGGAGAGGCATAACTATATCCTTAACCACTATGTTCTCAACTCGCCAGCCGAGGCGGAAGCGCGCCGACACAAGAGGGATATCGACGTGATACGGGAGAACCACCGCTTCCTGTGGGAGGACGATGAAGAGGTGGACACAGATTCCCTGAGCTGGGAGCAGCGTCTGGCCTTGCGGTACTACAAGAAACTGTTCAAGGAATACTGCATAGCTGATCTGTCCCGCTACAAGGAGAACAAGATAGCCCTGCGATGGCGAACGGAACAGGAGGTGGTCACAGGTATCGGTCAGTTCCAGTGTGGCAGCCGGCACTGCGGAGAGCGGTCGGGTCTGCGTAGCTGGGAAGTTAATTTCAAGTACATCGAGAAGAAAACGGCCCTGAATGCGTTGGTCAAGGTGGCTTTCAAAAGTGTCCAATGTTTGCTGCCTGTTTATTTACAAATTTGCCAATCTTTTAGGTGCGCCTTTGTCCCACGCATACGGAACAGCTAAACTACCGCACCAAGAAAAAGGAGTACAAGAAGCAGCGCCGCCGGGAGAAGGAGGAACGCAGAGCTGAAAGAAAGCGCAAGCGACGCAAGCTTGATGCGGAGGACGAAGCCTCTGCCTCCTCAGAAGGCGAAGAGGAGGGCGTAGCGGCACCGTCGTCTTTGGAAGTTGAGGTAGAAGCGGAAAAGAAGCAGGTGGAGCAGGAGGAGCCCTCGGCAGACGAGAAAATCTGGCTAAAGCAACCTGATCTCGCCCAGGAGCAGCCCTCCAGGGAAAGGGAATTCGAGAGATATCTGGAGGATCTACTTTTGTAAAATACATAGCACACATTTATTTGGATTCAACGTATGTAGACACTAGTGCTCTTTTTATAGTTACTGGCCGCGAGATGCTTATGAACTACGATGTACATGTACACTATTCACATTTACAGGATTATTTTTCACAAGAACTGTGTGTTAAAACCGACACCAAATCTGAAGTTGAACTGGACATTAAGGCTGTGACTTTGTGTGTTTTGGAAACATTTTCGGACTGCTACTTTCCAAACCGCCATTTCTGTACCCATCGAACGGAAAGCAGAGGTTCAAAAATACATAAACTCGTACGGCTGGGGTAAATGTTTAAATCCAGCCGCTGAAGCGTTTCTAAATATAAATCGCTCTAGAATAAATAGCCTCCTGATTGTGTTTACATTCGACGAGTAGAGAAATCTCGATTGGGCACATCCGCTTCAACTAGGCATAAAGAAGACTCAATCTAAATGTATACAGATAGCATCATTGAACGGACAGGGGCTGGATCTGGGGAAACTGCTACTCCTTGGGCAGAAGTTCGGCGAAAGCGGCTGTCGGCTTGAAGCAGCTCACCTCGGTGAAAACCATCTCGCGCCACTTCTCCACCGGCAGCTCGTTCTCCTCGAAGCTCTGGTCGTACAGCGCGGCGGTCTGCTCGTCGGACGGGTCGTGGTACTTTTCCATGTAGGGATGGGCCAGCGCCTGCTCAGCCGTAATGCGCTTGTCAGCGTCTAGCTCCAGCATCTTCTCCAGCAGGTCGATGGCCAGCGGATTGGCGCCGCGGAAGACGTCGCGGAAATTGCGGCGGGGCATGACCGGCAGAGAACGGATGTAGTTCCGGGCGCTCTCCGAGGAGATGCGGCTCATGAATTCGTCTGCCGGCGTTCCCAGCACCTCCATAATCAGGTTTAGCTGGTGAATGTGATCGGTGCCCGGAAAGAGGGTGCGACCAGTGAGCAGCTCGGCCATGATGCAGCCCACGGACCAGATGTCCACCGTCTGATTGTAGTGCATCCAGTTGAGCATGATTTCTGGCGCCCTGTACCACCGCGTGGCCACGTACCCGGTCATCTCGCTTTCTGCCGGCCGGGCCAGACCGAAGTCCAGAATGCGCAGCTCACAGTCCTCGTTCACCGCAATGTTTGAGGGCTTCAGGTCGCGATGTATAACACCCGCACTGTGGATGTATTTTAGGCCGCGCAGAATCTGGTAAACCAGGAACTGGACGTGGTCATCCGAAAGCTTCTGCGTGCGTATGATGTTGTTCAGATCGGCGTCCATCAAGTGCGTCACCATGTACACCTGCTGGAACTGTTCCAGCGAGTCCGCTGGCTGTCCCGGATGGAAGACGTCCAGCAGCCCAATAACGTTCTCATGATCCATATGCTTCAGAAGGCGCAGCTCCCGGTACGTGCGCTTCGCGTGCACCGCCGACTGGAAGGGCCTGGCCAGCTTCTTAATGGCCACCTTGGTGCTGCTTCCCCGGACTACGGCTTTGCATACCTGGCCGTAGGCACCCTGGCCCACGGGCTGCAGGTTCTGGTACGTCTCCGGAATCTCCCACTCGGTGCGGTTGATGTCCAGCTTGTAGAACTTGGCTATTTTCCGGGCCATATTGTTTTGGATTCGTTATCTCGCGCTGAATCTCTATTTATTTATTATGATTTCAATCCGTTCGTTCGCTGTCTACTGGTGCTTCTTCTTGCTCGCGGGAATCGTTATCGGCGTCAACATTTCTGGGAATGAGTAATGCGGCGGGGGGATTAGTGAAAAGGCCACAGCTAGTATGCCACCCCCCAAAGATTGGGAGGGACTAAACGGGATTACTGCTTACATCTTCAGGATTAACTTGATCTTTATTCGCGCGCCCACAACTGTTCTGATTGGACAACTGTTGTTGGGAAGGTAGTGAAGAGCCCCGACAAATATGCTATTTGCCTATCGATAACAACGGTTTGGGCCAAATTGCAGTCAGCTGTTGCTCGTTTATGCGTTAAAAGGCTCATTGTAAGCGTTTGCCCTCACAAAGTCAAAGTCCATTGGTTACATTTTCGTATTTAACCAGTTTCTGCGTCGTAATTGAAATTTAATAATTAATAATACTTAATAATATTAAATACTTTGTATTTTATTTATAGGATTTGGGCCAAATCGGATAAAAAACCATAAATTCTTACATACTTTAGAAATCGAAAGAACCTAAGAAAATTGTTGAAATGTTTAAATTACATTTGTAGAACCGTTACCGTTACCGTACATATATTTTAGGAAACAGTTTTCAAACTTAAATTTAAGGTAATAAGCTTGACTACATGTAAAATTAAAGTACTGCTCAACTTTGTGAATTTGAAGAATGCATAACGAGGAATTGGAGTTTGTTTAATTAAATCGAGAAAACTAAAAAAATAATAATAAAAATAAAATACAAGAGAAATTAGGGAAATAAATAAAGTTCCTACATTGTAATTCCTGGACTATACATTTAAAGAACATATTAATGAATAACTTTAAGCTCGCCCCTGAAATCGCGTCCCCACCACCACCTGCATGTAGGACATTCCCTCGTCGACCATGGGGCTTTTGGGGCTTACCAACGCCCGGCAACCAAACTCCGGCCAGTTGGAGTACGCTGGCTTAGTTTCAATCGGTCGCTCGTTGGGTCAACATCAAGGCCCGGATCCCGACGCTCTGTCTGCCGGCGTTTTTTGCACGAGTTTTTTCCATACGTATTTGTTCATTGACAAAAACTCAAGCTGCGCTCTGTGCGTGCGAGTGTGTGTGAGCGCGCGCTGGCTGGTGTGTCCGTGCCTCCGAGTGTGAGTGCGCTGCTTTGTGTGCAGAATAATTTTTGCAAACATTATGTAAATGCGCAAATTAAAGTTCAATCGACGCTCGACAGTCAAGGGGCCAGTTTGAATCCGAATCCAGATCACCCGGGCGTTTAATGCTAAGGCGCAACGGCAACAGTTTTGAAAAAATATAGCTCCGAGGGACGACCCGACCACCAGGGGGCGCTGCCTAGAACAGTACACAACACACACGCGCACACAGGATCCGATCGAGTGAGAAGAACCGTTAGTTAGTGGCCGGCCAAGAAATCCAAAATGGCCACGACAGCGGCCGCGATGGCAGCCACCAGCGTTGTAGTTTTGGATCGCGGCAACAACACAACCTGCACCATCAACATGCACGGTAAGCAGAAGCAGTCCAGCGATATAAGCTAAGCAACAATTAATCATAATTAACGAAAACACAGGGCAACGCAACGGCAACAACTGCTGTGTGCAGGCTTTTGCCAAAAATTGTTGGCTTTATTTTTAGCGCATGATTGGCCAGCTCTTTTCGGCTAGTAAGCTAATAAGCTTGATGGACGGACTTTCGTTAACCCGGGAGTTTCCGAAATAGAAACCCGTTTCGCCCCCTATTGACGTACTCGCGACCTCTGGAGGTTATCACTTCGTTCTCGAAACAACCTTGTCTACAGGTTCCTCAAACGCAAACCCACCAACTGGCAAGCTTTCGGCTATCTTATCAGCCGAGATCGTCCAAAAGCGGGCACTCCAAAGCTATGCTGTTGGGGGTAAATAAGTGCTCCGGACGATCTTGGGCCAGCTTGGAGCTCTGTTCCCAGCTCCTACTCGTCGCAGCACATTTCGATTAGGCGTTATGTGTACATAGGCACACACATAGGTGGTGTTCACAGGCCCCTCTCTATGTGCACCTATGGATGTGTGCTGGTACCCAGCGTACTTTCAACAATTACGACTCGCTGTGTCTGGCCTGCCCACGTTAGTTTCGTAGTCGTTCGTTCGGGTTTGAGCAACAGTCAGACAGTCAGAGCCACAACAGCATTTGTAGTTACACCCGAAGAAAAAAAAAAATACGAAAAAAATCTATACTTTCCCACTAGTAATATATTCCATATTCGACTTTAGTGGTACCTTCTAAAAAAACATTTCTAGAGGTAATCAAAATCTATGAATACTTTTAGCTACAAGCAATCCAAAGCAATATGCTGGGATTGCAGTAAAATTTTAATATTTTAGATGGATTTTGATTAATTCGATATATGTTAAACTTTTGAAAAACTTCTAAACAATAAAGTAAGTTAATTTTTGATATTGATATATAGTAATAATAGTTAATAAGAATAATAGTTTCATTAAAGTTATCATAGTGAGATATTAGTTTGATATCCTGTGTAATTCACTGTACTAAACTCTACCTAACTTGGTTAGTTATAGAAAAAAAGTCGTATTCTCATCGCATATTCGATTCTGCGAAAATTTGGGAACAGCAGCAGCTAGATCCTCCCACGCACTTGAAGTGCGCACCCACCCATTGGCCGTGGGCCATCGTCATAAGCTCTGATCCATTCCGGAACCCAAGCCTATATCCCAGGCTTTAACTGTACCAGAGAGTCGGTTTCTGCCAGTTTGCCTTTAGACTGTAGACCAGTTACTTACTGGCGCAATACAGTGCCCGAATACATGAGTGTTGGCCCGCTGTGAGTATGTGGGTTAGAAGTGTGTGCGTCATGTACTTATCACTGCCGTTTGTTGTTGGTTAATTCCCACAGCAGATCCAGCTTTGACTTCATTCATTGATGAACTAGCTCAGGCGTAGTGTGCTTTATTTTCGGGCTTCCTCATTCACAAAACTCTTGCTGTTCTCCAGCTGGCCTTAGCTTATTTCCATGTGCTGAATGTCTTTACCCTGAATGATGCACGTTAGGGATCGATTCAAAACACTGATCTTAGGGCAGAGAACTCACACTACCAAATAATGAAGATAGATTTACGATTGTTTGTTTGTTAGTTTACCCCTTTATTCAACCGATTATTCATTTGATCTTCTTGGATTGCAGGTGCCACAGTTGTCTCCTGGCGTGTCAACAATCAGGAGCAGTTGTTTGTCAGGTGAGTCTCTGGTGGACCTTGCAGCTGGGCAACCTTAAATATTGCTCATACGCCCCGCTGGCCGAACTTTAAGCTCAAACTTACGCAAGCCCACGGTATGCGTTGGTCATGCAACCAAAAAAGTGATTCGCAAAGTTTCAAACACACACAGCGTCGGGGAAGGGGCCGGGCTGGTTGAGAGGGAGCAGCCTTAGCCATTCTGTTTGGCGGCAAAATGTTTTTGTATGACACCCAACAAAAAAGACGTCGGGACCGAGCGGCCCCAAACGTCGAACCAACGAACCGAACCAAAGGCGACCGAATGGCAAAAACACAAAAACACTGGGGCCAAGGGACACAGGGGCAGAGGGACAGGATTGCAAACGGGGGCTTTGGCGGGTAGGAGCCGTTGCACTTGCATTCAAACAGTGGAGCTCCCTGCCTGCCTCCATTGATGTCCGTTTTTTCGCACTGTTGCTGCCCACTCCTCCAGTTCTGGGCTTCCCTCTTCTTCCCTTCTGGGCGAAACAATGTGCAAGTTTTTATGAATGGAGTTTTTGGCGCGGCCAAGCTAGATCGATAAATCCCCACTACACGAATCCTCCGGCTGGCACAGTGGTCCGAGCCTCGCCAACTCTCCTCCAAATGCCAGGTTCTTGGATCCCGAAGCTTTTTGCCGCTCCCACACGAATACGTACGAACCCATTATAGCGTTAGACCCTCGTTCTCGCTCGTTACCAATTTTTTGTTCCGTCTGCTGGAAAGTTTTCAACTGTTTTTGTTGTCGCCGCATTTGGAAACCCACTAAAAACCGGCAGTGGCTGGAACCCGGCAATGGCCACGGCCGAAACGAGGATGAAGCTGAAAACTAAATGAATTATTTGCCTGGTTTCGGTCTCAACTGCATATTTAAATGCAAGTACGTTTACTTAGTGCAGAACAAGTACCTAGTTCTAGCTTGTAGAAAGGATATATACATCAAATAAAGTTTTTAAATGCTAATTAATACTTGGAAAACGGAACTAAATCGAATCTTTAGAGTCAGAAGCATGGAAACTTAGCCTTAAACTAAATTTGGAGTCTTAAATGTTCATATATTTAGTTAAACAGCCTTTAGCTCTAAGATAGACTAGTCAATTGTCAATTAAATATTCATATTCGTGGGCTTAGATAATTTAAACCTTAATTCTGGACATTTCGAGATGCAAACAAAGCAAAACAATTTAAGTAAAGTCGTAGATCCTTTATAAAAACTAGGTATAATTTCTTCGACTTCTCCCTCCAAGTCTTTTAAAATTGTCAAAGAGTTGCAGAAATCCCACTCTACGTCAAAAAATCTTGGATATTAATGGCATTTTGCTTGTCAAATGCGTTCCACAACTAAAAGAGATTACAAATGATGCAGAGAAACTGAGGGAGAAACAAAATCGGCAGTTAGGTGGAGAACCAGAGGCAGAAGAAGCTTGATGGATGCGTCGGCAAATTAGCTGAGAGGAAACTGAAAGCAGGTTCCAACGCCAGGCAACGTCATCTTCAGCGAGAGGAGAAAAACAAAATACAAACAAAAAAAGGGACAAGGAGCATTTTGCCAGACACTTTTTTCTGCTAATAGCATTTCTGAATTTCTGAATGTCTGTCTGTCTGAGTCTGCAAGTGTTTTTATGGCTGAAATATTTTCGAGTAGCGTCTAACCGAATTAATCGAGTCTTTCTCTCCCCGTATCAACCATCTCGTCTTTCCTTAGCAAGCTAGCCTCCTTCGATGGAAAAAAGGCGATACGTGGCGGGATTCCCTTTGTCTTTCGTAAGTTTGCCAACACCAAGGACCTTGGCATTGCGTTATCCTAATGTTTCCATACAATTACAGCTCAGTTCGGTGCTTGGTCCTTTGGGCCCCAACATGGATTTGCGAGGATTACGCGGTGGCATCTGGAGAGAGCACCGGACCGGCTGCACAATGGCGATGTCGAGGCTATGTTCTCGCTGATGGACAACGAATTCACGCGCTCCATTTGGAACTACCAGTAAGCATTCATTTATGTAAACTAAACGATATGAACACAAATAGCTTTAAAATTTACATTGGGCAAATATTTTAGGGAGCATTTCCACAGAAATGTCCACCGTGGCCAAAAACTTAAAATTTATCCAAAACCTTTTTTTTATTAAATAGTTACAGTAAGAAGTGCTTTAATTGATCAAATTTGACAGAATCTAGCATATGCTAAAACAGATATTCGAATGCAATCAGGATTTTTCATTATTTTGATGAAAAACAGAATAAAAAAGGGCGTATTTTGTATTTTTAATAACTTCCAAACCAGAGGCATTAGGTATTCACATTTGCTTTCTAACATCACTTTGAGAATGAAAAGACTTAAAAATAAAGGCAAATGGAAATATGCAATTACCTATAACGGTAATATTTTGATTTGCAAAGTCGCTTTCCCGTGCCCGATGTCCCGTCCGAATCTACTTTAAATTGAATTAAAAATATTGTAATTTTAAGTTAAGTAATTTTTGAAAGAACTCAACAATTTTTAAGAGTCATCAGTGAACGTTTAACGTTTAAAATTTGCTTTAGGATTAGCAAAAATTGGGTATTGAAATGGTCGACCTGAAAAACCACTTCTGTTTTCTTTAAAATTTTAAAAATGAATGTCCGCGCGACCGAGAAATGCCGTACTTTAAAAAATGAAAGCTGTTAATGAATAATTTAGTACTTCCAGGAAATTGAAGTTTAAGTAAGCTTGATGAAATTCTAACTAGAGTATAGTATATATATCAAGAGAAAAAACCAAATATAATACATCGTCGACAATTCGTGTTCATATAAAAAAAATCTTAAAATTTGAAAAATCTAAATTTTAAATATAAATCTAATGTTTTATCGGGAAACAAACGATGTCTTTTTCCGATTATAGCTTCCAATATATTTAAAATAAGATGCATTTATGGCACACTTATTTCAATGTTGGGAGATCGATTAGGAGATTTCTTAAATTACTCAACAGCAACTATACATTTTGCACCTTTACAATAAAATATCTCACAAACGTGACCTAATGTAGTCTATTCTGGGGACGGATTCGAACAATTTTTTAAATTTTGTAGTAGGCGTATTATCAATAAAGTATTTATTTATAATACATCGATTTTTAGAATTAAGTTTTAAAGATTGAAATCGTGGAGTATTCTTAGTTTTCATTGTTATTACTACAAGATCATAAGAAACATATATTTACATAATTATCTTTGTTGAAATACAACATTGTTAAATACCGCTGTTGCCTTTGAAGGTTCCGCATCACCTACCGCCTAATCCTGCGCGAGAAAGAGCTCCACTTCCATATCGGCGTCTACAATCCTAGCAAGGAGCTAAGTTTTACCTTCAACATGCTCTTGCACACCTACCTAAAGGTGCCTGATGTCCGGCGGTGCCAGATTACGGGTCTCCAGGGCTGCCACTTTATCGACAAGACCCGGGAGAATGCGCTCTATCAGGAAGGGCGCGAGGTGGTGACCGTCAATGAGTGGACCGACAGAATCTACCAGCACACGCCGCAGGAGCATGTGATCACTAACGTGGTGTCCGGCCGGAAGATGAGACTGCACAAGTACAATTTTCCCGATACGGGTGAGTGTGGATAAATCAATGAATAAATTGATCTGGGTTAATAGCAAAGAGACCCTCCACAAAAATCAGAAAGTTTCTTTTATCAAAAAGGAGCATTTTATGGTCATGAGTGCCATTAAATAGATGCTAGTTTTGGCAAGGGACTATTATATATATTTTATGTTTTATATATTCTTCATTAATGTCGTTCTTCAGAATTAAAATAGAAGGAATAAAATTATTAAGATATACGTGATATACCCAGTACCATAACGTTGCGCTTTATGCTTATTATCAAAATATAATACAAAGTATAAACAATTTTTTTTACCAAAGAAATGCTGTAATAAGTTAATTATCTACCTAGCAAAATATGTTATATTTGTATTTAAATACCTAAACATTGCATGTCTATATATTTCCATTCAGTTATATGGAATCCTTGGATCGATCGATCCCGTGAGATGAGCGACTTTGGCGACGACGAGTTCCCCAACATGTTATGCGTAGAAGCTGGCAATGTAACCTCGCCCGTGATCCTGCTTCCGGGAACCGCTTTCGAGGCCAGCCAGATCCTTCAGGTAGAGCAGTCGGTGCTGGAGCAGCCTTAGTCCAACCAATCCTAACCACCCGACCCCTACTACCCCAATCCCAGCAATTCAGATGTCCCTATACTAAAAACGCAAGCACCTAGAGAGGAAATCTAACCGGCTTTATCCAAAACGACTTGAATCCGAATCCACCTCCATACTATTCCAATTCAAATTCTTTACTTTGCATGCTATCATCAGATCATCATCGAGGGCAATGTCAGTCGCAAGACCAAGCGGAATCGCTAGCGTTTAAAGAATCGGAACCCGATGAGGTAAACCGATTCGCAACCACGACAAAGCGCACTTTTCTGTAGAGATTTTTGAGCGATTCCTGGACTAGCTCAGCAGACGAGGATCCGCACCAGGAGGATGAGGAGAATGATGATGAGGGAAAGGAAGTAAACCGTTCGTTCGGTTCTTCCCGCACAACCTCTAGACTCCAATTTGTAACTTAAGTAATCGTAAAGCCCTCTAGCAATATATGTATGTAGTGCTAAGAATGTTAAAGGAACATGCACTTGCCAGCCTAGTTGTCCACCTTGAGTGCGGGGAGAAAGGGGTATGGTCTGTAAAACGTTTAAACATTCCTAGCCACCCAAAACTAAATGTGAATTGATAGTTATTTAATCATGGTTTTTGAAGCATGAAGTGACTGTCACAATAATTATTATTATTTCGTCTTCTTTGGCCTCTTTATGTTTGCATCTCCGATCTTAATGCGGACCTGAAAAAGTTCGCTTCGTTTGAAAATAACATTCATTGTGATGATCTCACTTCCTGCTTCGAACTTACTTATTCAGCTAATAAAGGTGAACTAAACTAATGTATGTATATTGGGCACCACCAGCTCTGGTCAGCACCCAATTCGTAAAAGTGTATACGATTGAAAATAGATAACAACCATAAAGATTTAAATTAAATGTGTGTAATATACTAAATGCAATTATATGTACGAAACAATGTAATAAACCATTTATGAACCCAAATGTTAGTGTTTTGTGGGTCAGTTGGGATTTGGCAAAGTCGTGTGAGGAAAAATTTTACAAAAAAATGTTAATGGTCCTCAGGGTAGATGAAATCCTGCGGAAGAATTTTATCACGAAAGTAAAGAGTCGAAGAATCAAAAGATATTTGTCCAGTGACCCTCCCTTAAATGCACAATCTCTTTATAATCATCAACAGCCCATTCAATCTAGTATATAGTAGAACAAATATTTAAATTATATACAGAGAATGTTTTTTTTTTTAAATAAAAAAAACAATATTACTCTGTCTAAAGTTTATTTCGAAATTTTATATTGCGTATAATTTGTAAGCATTTAAATAAACTATTTTTGGTCGGATTAGCTACAAAATCTACATTTTTCTTAAGGAATACATTTTGTTAGGAGGCCAAAATTAACGATTCTACTAGGAAACTAAGTGAATTCAAATAAATATAAAAACCAAGAGGATTTCGATAAAGCTATTTATAATCGAGGAGCTAATTAATGGTCTAAATAAAAACATTTTTTATTTGAATTGCGGATTCCCGAGATAATTCCAATAATTTTGGCTTTGCATTGTGTATACAAAATGTGTTAGAACAAATTAAAATTAAAATTTGAATAGGTTCTAGAATGTTGAGTTTAGAAAATAACTTTAAAAATAACCTTCGGTTTCATATTTTCAGTTTTTATTTACTTTATATGTTCATTACCAGAATATATTTTAAAAATAGATTTTTAAAACTCAAACCTAAAAGGAGTACTGTAACAGAAATAGTATTCTGGTAGCTGCATAGGTTAAAACGCATTTTCTATTGGTTTTAGGTAGGTTTAAGGTTTAATTTTCGGAATACGAAATTTCGATTGCGGACCTTTTATAATCCTGAAAATTCGCGATACTCGTCCGCTATTCGTCCGTTTTTGAGCATTTAGCGAAACTAATGCCAAAAGTCCGATTCGTTGACCGTATTTAATATTTTTAGCGGGCATTTTTCGGAACCGCACTACGCTTTTTTGTCTGCTGGGATGGTACAACTTTTCTTCTTTTATCAATTTTTAGGTTCGGTCTACGACTTGTTAGACTGTTTTCAGTCTGAATAATCCCCATTCATAGGACTATATTTTTCACCAGGTGGGTATTGCTCCGCGCTGCCATCAATATTGAGCCACTCGGTTTTATTCGGAACCATGGCAATCGGAATGAGGTTTCGCACAGCCCAATATAGAGCCAAGCTAATGTTGGACATAATTTTTGCCTTATTGGACATTGTTCGTTGCTGAAAAATATGCAGAACTGTAGGATTCTGGTACTGTGCTCAATCAGTTGGAGCTCACTTCGATAGCGATGACTTGATAGGTGAGGAGGGCCCAGATAACAGGTAGCAAAGCTCGGAATGCGAAGCGAAACATTTCGAAGAGCGAATTTTCCACTCTATCCCGTAGAGACATCAAGAAATACTAACGGAATATACAAAATGTTGCTCGTCGGGCTAACGTATTGTAAGCTGGTTTCTGCGAAGAAATTTAATACCTGCACAGGTGTACAATTAAGCTTAGTTTATTTGATTTTTGTTTGTTTTTATGAGTGGCTTAGATTAGATTCTTTACATACATATATAAATTAGGCATTTCTATAAAGTATACTAAACGCAACGCTCTCGCTGAATATCTTGCTTTCGACTTAGAGGGGGCTGGGACACGCCGGGGATCGTTAGTCGCAGTTTAATTTTTTTTGAGGCGCAGCTGAACGAGCTTGGTACAGTTGCTCTTTAAATATATATGTGGTCAAATAATATTGCAAGGATAGTTTGGTGTACAGCGTGACGGGGGATGACACAAGAGCTTCTTTTAGTCAATCTTCACAGCTCCGTAGATTCTCAGGATAAAAACGTAGGCGGCAAAGAAGCCGATCGATCCGGTCAGCAGCCAAAAGGTCAGCACCATGAGGCCTGTTGTACTCAAGATTAGATCGTGCATTTCGATAACTCCAGGATGACCACTTACCCGTATAGCCCAAGTAGAGCAGTGTTGGTATAAACTCTGTGATCTCGAGTTTGGTGAAGAAGTAGAAAATACTGTAGAAGAGAACATAGACGGCCGAGCCCCCGGACACAACGAAGCTGCGCCACCACCAACGATAGTCCTGCAAAGGCGAGGGAACGCATTAAAGTTTCGCCCAAGCGAAAACTGAGACAGACTCACCTCGCCACACAGCTGGAAATAGGTCATGACTATGGAGATCTGGGCGCAGCTCACAACCAAGATGCAAAACACCAAAAAGAGAAAGCCGAAAAGATAGTAGAACTGATTCTGCCAGATGGCCGTGAACACAAAGAAGAGTTCAATGAAGACGGCCCCGAAGGGCAGGATCCCAGCCATCAGTGTGCTGAAAAACATAATTCAAATCCGGTTAGTATAGGCTGGAATTCTTGAAAAAGAAACGGCTGGGCATTACCTCAAAACGGCATTCATGTACCAATGCTGTGTGGGCACCTGGCGCGGGATCATGTTGGTGCGCACTGGATGCTGATATGGTTGCTTGCGGTAGCCCAGGTAGAAGCCCAGATAAACCAACGGCACCGAAATGCCAAACCACAGCAGGAGCAGAGATATCATCGTGGTAAAAGGCACAGCACCACTGGATGACTTGTCCCATATAAAAAAGTTTAAAAAGAATCCAGTGCTGCAGAAAAAAGGGTAACACCAGGTCAGACATTCCAGATGTGTATGCCAAGCTTTAATGCTCACCCAAAGACAATGCCTGGATAGAGGGTGGCGGTAAGGAAGGCGGCCCGCTTCCACTCGCGACCCTTCATGGTCTTGTAGAGCCTTGCCGCGTAGAAGCCAGCGATGGTGCCCATGAAGACGTACATGAAGATGCCGGAGGTCATGAGGGCTCCCCTCGACGACGGTGACAGCATGCCCAACATGGCGAAAAATATGGTGATCAGAGACATAAAGAAGATCTGAATGCCGCTGCCAATGATAGCTGAGAAGAGTCGGGTGTTCTTCGGTGGACGGAATACGTCGCCGTGGACCAGCTTCCAGCCGGTCTCCTCCAGCGTGTCCTCAATATTGTCATCGGTGTTGTAGCGCGCAATGTCCCGTCGCAGCGTGCGGATCATGATCATGGTGAGAATTCCGGAGAGGAAGAATACCACCACCAGGGAATTGATGATGCTGAACCAATGGATCTGGACGTCGCGCATGCCCAGGTAGATGTCCCAGCGCGAGGCCCAGCTCACCTTGGACTCCTTCCACTCCACGGAGTAGGTGAAGTACAACTGGGTCTCACCGCCGGCATTCACCTGCTGTGGCCGAGCACTGTCTGGGAAGTTGCAGGTGTCGCCGTGGAACTTGAGCTCCTTGTGGCTCACCGAGACAGTTTCCACCTCGAAGCCGACAACACGGTACTTGTCCTTGGAGTGCATGTGGTATGACAGGATGAACTTCAAGTGGTTGTTTATGTAGATGTTGTCGCCATCCACCTGACCCAGCCGGTAGCCGTGCTCGTAGGTGACCTCCAAGGGGTTGTTCACGTTGAGGATGCGTGTTGCCACCGGCAGGTTGTCCACCAGAAGGTGGACAAAGTATTCGTGCTGGATGCGCTCCGCAACCAGTGCCGACTCCTCCTTGCTCCAGGTCAGCGGTCTGTCCTTCTGGTTGCACAGCAGGCGACAGTTGACCTGCTGGTTCATCCGGACCTCGTACGGTGTGTTCACGATCCTGTCGCCGCGCAGCACCTCACCCAGGTTTTCCGACTTGAATATGAGCGTGCCGTTCTTGGGGTAGCAGAACTTGAGCGAGTAGTACTGGTAGGGCAGCTGGGTGCGGCTGCTGGTCATCTTCACCGCCTTCACGTCGATCTTCTGGTCCTGGACGAACTCTACCGGCGCCACGCCGGGCACGTAGAAGCCGTCTACCACCACGCCGAGGGCCACCAGCAGGCCCAGCAGCAGCCATGGCCGTCTAGCCACAGCCCCTGACTGCGAAAAGAGAGTGCTTACATTAGTCCAGTTTGCACCAACACAATTTCCATCCATTCTGGTTGCGTGTCCCTCTGCCCACGTCGCAGCTGCAGGAGTCACGCGGCGCATATTCCGGCGGCTAACTCTGGCACGAGGAACCGGCCAACTCACCTGCATGGTTGGACGTGTGTGGTTGTGCGAGCAAATCGACCCTCGACCGTTCGTTGACTGTAATTTCGCTTAAAAAATGTAAAGTTTCTGTCTGCTGGCAAATCTTTTGTCGTCCAGTGTTGGGTAATTCGTCTGGCTGAAGTGTTGGAAAAAACCGGAGGCACTGCATCCAATACGGTCCCACCAACAACAGAGCGATGCTATCGTTATCGATAATGCTTGTTACAGGCGCGAGAATTTAAAAACAATATTCTTGCTACCAAAGAATTGCGTTTTTAATATAACTTGTTTATAGCCTAAATAGGTTTTTATTTCTAGTATCGAATGAGAGGGTTTATTTTTAGCTGCATTGTGGATAAAAATAACTACTTTATATCGGTGTTACCATTCAGTAAGTACAAGCTCCAAGAACAAATTTAACAGAAACAAATACTTAACGGCCCAGAAGGAAGGTTGTTTGTTTCCATTACTGCATATAAGTATCTTACGAAATATTAAGAATTATGTAGCGAATTTGTTAGGATATTCTTAGAATAAAAAAGAAAAAAAAATAGTATGAATGAGTCTCCCCCTAAAATGAATTACATTTAATTTTATAAATATGCATGATCCAACAACGCATGAATAAATGTATATTTAAATCGTTAAGCTACAGAAAATGAATTTAATTAAATCAATTTAAAAATCTCATTATCCGTTCATACATGCATATGTGTGTGCAAACAAACAGTTTGTTCCGAGGGTGAGATACTATACGAACACTTGTAAAACACACTCGACTTTTCAGTATTTGCAGAACGTTGTTTCAGCTTTCATTTGCACAATAACAACAAATACTCCAGTAACTACGACAGCTTTAGC